ACAGACGGGGATCAGGGCTGTGGGGACAGTGGGCCCGGGGGGGATGTGGCACACCAGGGTGCGGACAGACAGTGGGGCAGGGGGACAGGAGGGGAGGGCTGGGGGGGCCAGGCTGGGCTTGGGGGGTTGGGGTGTGTGAGTGTCTCTGGATCATTGCACTGAGCCTGCAACAGGGACAGGACCCTCAACACCCCCCAGCACCAGGGGGCTGCCACAGGGCTCAGGGGGTTCAGGGACAGGCCCCCATGTGAGCAGGGCCCCACATTAGTGGGGCACAGGGGGGTTCAGACCTGCCTCTCACTGGGGAGGTTCTGGGGGTGCAGTGCAGTGTGTGCAGTGAGAGCCCAGTGCCTGAAGCCGCTGCAGGAAAGCTGGAGAGGGGCTTGGGACAAGGGCCTGTAGGGACAGGCCAAGGGGAATGGCTTTAACCTGCCAGAGGGGAGGCTGAGCTGAGCTCTTAGGCAGAAGCTCTTCCCTGGGAGGGTGCTGAGGCGCTGGCACAGGGTGCCCAGAGAAGCTGTGGCTGCCCCATCCCTGGCAGTGTTCAAGGCCAGGTTGGACACAGGGGCTTGGAGCAAGCTGCTCCAGTGGAAGGGGTCCCTGCCCATGGCAGGGGTTGAGAATGGAGGAGCTTTAAGGTCCCTTCCAACACAAACCAGTCTGGGATTCTGAGATTCTATGCAGTGCAGTGGGGCACAGTGGGGCACAGTGGGTGCAGTGGGTGCAATGAAGTGGGGGACAGTGGATGCAGTGCAGTGGGGTGCAGTGGTACAGTGAAGTGGGGCACAGCAGGTGCAGTGGGGCACAGCAGGTGCAGTGGGTTACAGCAGCCCCAGCTCATTTCCTGCAGGAAGGACACACAGAGAACGCTGCGGGGATGCAGTGCAGTGCCATGTGGATGCAGTGAGGTGCAGTGGGTACAGCAGGGATGCGGTCCAGGTGCAGTGGTATTCAGTGGGGGTGCAGTGGGTCACAGAAGGGTGCAGTGCAGGAGCAATGTGGGGCCCAGGGGTGCAGGAGCCCAGCTCCCCCCTGCAGGAGCTGCTGGGAGTGAACAGGACCGGGAGCAGCTGAAGGCATGAGTGGGGAGATGCAGCTTTTTGGGCGCAGGGGAAGCAGGGGGGAGCACAGGGTCACAGTGGGGTGCAGTGGGGCTGTAGGGGGGTTGCCGTGGGGCACAGTGGGGCACAGGGGGGCTCACCTCTCGCAGAAGGTGTGCAGGCAGGGCAGCACCTTGGGGTTGCGGTACCGGTCCAGGCAGATGCTGCACACCAGGAACTGTTGGTCGATTTGCCGCACCACGGGGCTGGCGCCGGCCTCGCGTGTGGCCATGGCGGCGGTGGCGGCCCCACGGCGGCCCCACGGCGTCAGCCTGCAGGGACGGGCAGTGGGCACCCCACAACACCCCACAGCACCCAGCCCCACACTGGTGCCACTCACCCCCTGGCCCACATCCTCTGGGGGGGCTCCCCCTTAGCCCCTCCATGCCCACAGCCCCAGAGCCAGCCCCACAACAGCCTAGCCCAGCCCCACATGTCCCCATGGCCCCCAGCTCTGCCCTGCACAACGCATTGGGGTGAGCAGCACCCTTATCCCTGCCTGCCCCATGGCGCCTGCTGCAGGCCCCATGGCACCCACGCCGCAGCCCCATGGACCTACTACCTCACCCATGGTACCCACCCCCTTGTCCTACAGCACCCACCCCCTTGCCTACCCTATGGCACCCCCTGTCTGCCCCACGGCGCACACCCCCCTGCCCCATGGCACCGCCCCCTTCTCCTACAGCACCCGCTGCCTGCCCCACAGCATCCCCTGCCTGCCCCACAGCACCCACCCCTTTACCCTCCAGCCCCCACTGCCTGCCCCATGGCACACATCCTACCCTATAGCACCCTACCCCTCCCCTGCCAGCCCCACACCCCCCACCCCTACACACACACCCCAGACCCACACCAGCCCCACTGCGACCGCTCCGTGATTCAGGCCCGGACCCAGCCCCGCCCCGGCCGCCATTATGGGACCGGCTCTGAGGTGCTGGGGGGGGGGGGGGGGAGCACACAGACACACACACAGCGCCCCATATCTCCCCATAGCGCTCCACAGCCCGTCCCCATCGCCAGCCCCACAGCGGACACTCACCCCACACGCAGCCCCCAGCGCGCTGCGGCCCCCGGCGCATCCCGAGCGCGGCAGGGATGGGCAGGGGAGGCCGGGACGTACCATGGAGGAGCTGGAGGGGGAACACTCTCTTTGTCCCCTCACTTACTACATGGGATCTCCCTCCCCGTGACCCACAACTTGGGGGAGAGACGCGTCGGAAAGCGACGCGTCTCTCCCCCAAGTTGTGGGTCACGGGGAGGGGGAGATCCCGTTGAAAGTGTGGGGCGAGAAGGGCGCACCGCCCCCCTTGCACACAAATGGTCGCGCCCAGTGCCTCCGCAGCCCCACCGCATCCCGCGGTACCCGCCCGTCGCCACGGCAACAGCATCCCCCAAAAGATGGGATGCGGGGAGAGGGATGGAGACGGGATGGGAGCGATGGGGACGGGAGGAGATGGTGGGGGGTGAAAGCGGGAGGAGAAGGGGAGGTGCGGTGGAATATGGGGTCATGGCTGCAATGGGGGGATATAGGGAGCCAGTGGGGTCCCAATGTGTGACACCCCCCCTCCCAGTGTGTGACCCCACAGTGTGGGGGTCCCGCTCTGCTCCTGCACATCCAGAGATGATGTGGGGCACAGGACTCCTGGAATCCTGAATCCGGGCAGGAGGGGGACTCAGGGCCCATCTGCTCCAGCCTTTCCCAGCGAGCATGGCCCAGCCCCATGCAGCCCATCCGTAGTGTCCAATGCTGTGGAATCACCCCTTCCCTCCAGCCCTCCAGGCCCTTCCTCACACGCTGCCATCCTGGGGTCATCTGGGCATTCCTGGTTGTGAGACCTTCCCCTTGTCCTCATTGGATCCATCAGATCCCATTACCCTGCTCTACCCAGGTCACCCCCTTGCTGAGCGCAGCCCCTCAGGTTGTTGCCACCCCCAGTTTCAGTCTCTCCTTTGAATGTCACACACTTGATCCCAACATCCAGATGATGCTGATGGAGCGGGGCCAGAGAAGAGCAATGGAGCTGGTGCAGGGCCTGGAGCCCAAGTGTGATGGGGAAGGGCTGAGGGACCTGGGGGGCTCAGTCTGGAGAAGGCTCAGGGGGGACCTGATCGCTCCCTACAAGTGCCTGAGAGGAGGATGGAGCCAGGAGGGGCTGGGCTCTGCTCCCAAGGAACAAGGGAGGGGACAAGAGGAAACGGCCTCAAGCTGCACCAGGGCAGGTTTAGATGGAGCTGAGGAACAATTCCTGCCCCAAAGGGTGCTCAGGCATTGGAACAGGCTGCCCAGGGCAGGGCTGCAGGCACCGGCCCTGCAAGGGTTCACACCCCATGGAGATGAGGCCTCAGTGCCATGGGTCAGTGGTGGCCTTGGCAGTGCTGGGGAGCGGTTGCACTGGATAACCTTGAAGCTCTTTCCCACCCGCTGGTTCTATGGCTACACAGAGAATCAGTGGGGAGCCTCCCAGTGCCCCAAGAGGAACATTGGCTCCTGCACACACCAATGGACCATGAACCAGCACCTGATGGAAAAGTGCCTGCTAGCACTGGTAGCACCAGGAGCAGCAGCTTCCCTTGAAATCATAGATCATGGAATGGTTTGGGTTGGAAAGGAACTTAAAGCTCCTCCAGTCCCAGCCCCTTACCATGGGCAGGGACCCCTTCCACTGGAGCAGCTTGCTCCAAGCCCCTGTGTCCAACCTGGCCTTGAACGCTGCCAGGGATGGGGCAGCCACAGCTTCTCTGGGCACCCTGTGCCAGCGCCTCAGCACCCTCACAGGAAAGAATTTCCTCCTTATCTCCAACCTGAACTTCCCCTGTTTCAGTTTGAACCCATCACCCCTTGTCCTGTCACTACAGTCACTAATGAAGAGTCCCTCCCCAGCATCCCTATAGGCCCCCTTCAGATACTGGAAGGCTGCTCTGAGGTTTCCACACAGCTTCTCTTCTCCAGGCTGAACAGCCCCAACTTTCTCAGCCTGTCTCCAAATGGGAGGTTCTCCAGTCCCTGATCATCCTCGTGGCCCTCCTCTGGACTTGTTCCAACAGTTCCATGTCCTTTTTATGTTGAGGACACCAGAACTGCACACAATGCTCCAGGTGAGGTCCCACAAGAGCAGAGCAGAGGGGCAGGATCACCTCCTTGGACCTGCTGGTCACGCTCCTTTGGATGCAGCCCAGGATACGGTTGCTTATCTGGGCTGTGAGTGCACACTGAAGTCAGCTCATGTTCATTTTCTCATCAACCAACACCCCCAAGTCCTTCTCCTTGGGCTGCTCTGAATCTCTTCTCTGCCCAACCTGTAGCTGTGCCTGGGATTGCTCCGACCCAGGTGTAGGACCTTGCACTTGGCACGGTTAAACCTCATGAGGTTGGCATCAGCCCACCTCTCAAGTGTGTCCAGGTCCCTCTGGATGGCATTCCTTCCCTCCAGTGTATCAACCGAACCACACAGCTTGGTGTCATCGGCAAAGACGTTGAACGACTTTGGGTCCAACACCAATTCCTGAGGGACACCACTTCCCTTCCCTTCCCTCCCCTCCTGCTCCCAGGGCACACAGGGCTCCTGAAGCCCCTCAATCCCACCGCTGGTGGCTGTACCCCGAGGCAGCGCCAGCTCCAGGACCCACAGCACAGGGACTCCTCCTGCAGCACCCCCAGCAGAGCCCCCCTGGGGCTGCAGTGGGACAGAGCCGGGTGCTGACAGGCCAGGCCAGGCTGTTCAGCAGCTGCAGCGCCCGTGACACCGGGGGTGGCTGCACCCAGGGACCGTCCCCTACCGCCAGCTCCCTACGGGCTGCTCCTGTGCTGGGGCTGGAGCAGAGCTGGGAAGCAGGGCCAGGAAGCAGCAGCGGGGCCGGGAAGCAGCAGCGGGGCCCTGTTGACACATCAGCAGCAGGACATTGGGGATGAGACTCTTTATTAGCACGAGGAAAACACTCCTGAGAATCCAAGGCCTGGGGCTGGAGCCAGAGCCCAGCGCGGAGCCACCAGCACCAAGTCTGGTTGGGAATCCCCCACTGGAGGCACCGGCGCTGCCGTCCCCTTCCCGCTGCCACTGGACACTCCTGGCAGCTGCTGAGAGATTCCTGATCCCGATGGAGGCTCCTGATAATGATGGAGGCTCCCAATCCTGATGGAGGCTGCAGACCCGCATGGCCAGGTCCGGAGCAGCATGAGCTCCGGCTCAGTGTGGGCAGGCTCAGCCCAGTGCCAGGCCTGGATCCATCCCGGTGCTGGATCCATCCTGGGGCCACCCACCTGCTATGTGCCCGTTCTGGGAGCCGCTGGGGGGTCGGGGGGGGCTGCAGGAAGTGCCGGGTCTTGGGATGCTGAATCGGCCGCGCGGCGCTGCAGGATGCCCGGCATCAGCGCCACGTAGGAGCGCATGAGGCGGTGGTTGGAGTGCACCAGCTTGGAGGCACAGCTGTCGAGGCAGGATTCCTGCAGGATGGCGACCCGAGATCAGCAAGTTGAGGAACAAGAGGGGAACCAGAACCAGGGGATCCGGGAATCAAGAACCAAGGGATCAGGGATGGAGGAACAGGGGACCAGGGCATCCAGGACCGGGGTATCCAGCATCAAGGACCAAGGGCTCAGGACCAGGGGACCATGGGAACGAGGATCAGGGAATGAAGGATCGGGGACCTGGGACCAGAGGATGAAGACAGAGTGAATGAAGGAGCAGGGGAACACGGATCAGGAGCAGGGCCTCGAGGACCGGGGTAAAGGAATGAGGGGACGGGGAACGAGGGGATCCGGGACGCAGGACCGGGAACAGGGCCCGGGCACCGCGCCCGGGGATCCCGGGTCCCGCCGCACCTCGCGCCCGGTGAGCAGCCGGTAGTTGAGGTTACAGACACAGCGCCGGAAGCAGAGCTCAGTCATGCGGTTGTACACCAGCAGGAAGTCCCGCAGCTGCAACAACCGGCCCCGGCACGGAGACATCACCCACCGCGGCACCGGGACATCACCACCCCTCCGGTACCGGCACCGGGACATCACCACCCCTCCGGTACCGGCACCGGGACATCACCACCCCTCCGGTACCGGCACCGGGACATCACCACCCCCCCGGTAAGGCACCGGGACATCACCACCCCTCCGGTACCGGCACCGGGACATCACCACTCCCCCCGGTAAGGCACCGGGACATCACCACCCCCCCGGTAAGGCACCGGGACATCACCACCCCCCCGGTAAGGCACCGGGACATCACCACCCCTCCGGTACCGGCACCGGGACATCACAACTCCCCCCGGTAAGGCACCGGGACATCACCACCCCCCCCCGGTAAGGCACCGGGACATCACCAACCCCCGGTAAGGCACCGGGACATCACCACTCCCCCCGGTACCGGCAACGGGACATCACCAACCCCCCCCCGGTAAGGCACCGGGACATCACCAACCCCCGGTAAGGCACCGGGACATCACCACCCCCCCCGGTAAGGCACCGGGACATCACCACCCCCCCCCGGTACCGGCAACGGGACATCACCACCCCCCCCCCGGTAAGGCACCGGGACATCACCACCCCCCCGGTAAGGCACCGGGACATCACCACCCCCCCGGTAAGGCACCGGGACATCACCACCCCTCCGGTACCGGCACCGGGACATCACCACCCCCCCCGGTAAGGCACCGGGACATCACCACCCCCCCCAGTACCGGCAACGGGACATCACCACCCCCCCCCGGTACCGGCAATGGGACATCACCACCCCTCCGGTAAGGCACCGGGACATCACCACCCCCCCGGTAAGGCACCGGGACATCACCACCCCCCCCCCGGTAAGGCACCGGGACATCACCACCCCTCCGGTAAGGCACCGGGACATCACCACCCCCCCGGTAAAGCACCGGGACATCACCCCTGCGGCCCCGCACCACCCCCAGCACCCCGCTGCCCCCCTCACGCTGCGCAGCTGCTGCCGCTGCTCCTCCGCCACCGCCTCCATGGCCCGCTCCCAGCCCCGCTTCCGTCCGGCGTCACCTCCGGCCCGGCTCCCGGCGGCCTCCGCCGCCCGTGACGCAACGTCCGGCGTGTCCCGGCGAGCGGAGCGGCGGCGGCCGCGGCCGAGAAGGTGGGGGGGAACCGGGCACGGGGGCAGGAGGGGCACGGGCGGGGCACGGGCACCGGTACCGCAGCCCGGCGCCGCAGCGGTGCCTGCGGGGGGGAAGCACCGGGCCCCGCTTCCATCCGGGGCAGGAACGGGCCGGTGGGGATCCGGCCGCGGAGCGCGGCCTGAGCAGGGCGGTGCGGCGGGGCCGGCAGCGGGGGGCACCTGCAGCGCAGAGCGATGGGGCCGGCAGCGGGGGGGCACCGGCGGCTGCCTCGGAGCGATGGGGCCGCCCCGCGGTGTCCCTCGGCCGTGCCCCCGGCCCAGCGGGTACCGGAGCGGGCGGGGCGGCCCTGCGGGAGCTCTGGAATGCGGCCGGACCGGTCCGGGCACTGCGCGGCCCCGCTGCCCCCCCGGAGCCCGGCTGCGGACGTGGCTCTGGGCTTAGATCCGCCGGGCCCGGCGCCAGCCCTGACCCGGGACAGCTCCATCGCCGGCGGCAGCGCGGGGCGGGGGGAGCCCGGACTTGGAGCGCTCCGGGAGGGGCGGCTCCGGAGGCTGCAGCCGGGACCCCGGGTCCTGGAGGTGCTGGAGCGAGGCCAGAGGAGGGCACGGAGCTGCTGCGAGGGCTGGAGCAGCTCTGCTCTGGAGCCAGGCTGAGAGAGCTGGGCTGGGGCAGCCTGGAGAAGAGAAGGCTCCTGAAGGGGAGACCTGAGAGCAGCTCCAGTGCCTGAAGGGGCTGCAGGAAAGCTGGAGAGGGGCTTGGGACAAGGGATGTAGGGCCAGGCCAAGGGGAATGGCTTGAACCTGCCCGAGGGGAGACTGAGCTGAGCTCTTAGGCAGAAGCTCTTCCCTGGGAGGGTGCTGAGGCGCTGGCACAGGGTGTCCAGAGAAGCTGTGGCTGCCCCATCCCTGGCAGTGCTCAAGGCCAGGTTGGACACAGGGGCTTGGAGCAAGCTGCTCCAATGTGAGATGTCCCTGGCAGGGGTTGGAGCTGGAGGAGCTTTAAGGTCCCTTCAACTCAAACCAGGCTGTGGCTCTATCCCAAGGGACTGCAGTGCTGGGCATTGGCTGCAGAAGCCCCTGTGGGGGCTCCTTGGTGCACCAGGAGCTGCCCTGGTGGGTCCTGCCCTGCACCATGGGGAGGTTGCCTCCATCTGGACCTGCTCCTAATCTCCATCTTTGTGTCCCTGCAGGCCCTAAGAATGTCAGACGGGATCATGAGCAAAGCGGCCACCATGGAAATCCCCATCAGCAGCAACGGGGACACGGGCAGCCTGCCCGAGGACGACGGCCTGGAGCAGGTTCAGGGCTGAGATGTGCTGGGCTTGCTGGGATTGCTGGATCCCCGGTGTGTTCTGTGCTCTCCCTCACCTCCTGCCTTTGCTCCAGGACCTGCAGCAGGTGATGGTGTCAGGGCCCAACCTCAATGAGACCAGCATCGTGTCAGGCGGCTACGGGGGCACAGCCGAGGGCATCATCCCCACCAGCACCATGAAAGGTACCGAGGGGCCGGGGCTGCTGCCAGGGAGGGTGGGAAGGAGAGGTCCCATCACAGGAAGATGGGCTCGGCAGCGTGTCCCACCACGTGGTTCTGCCTCTGTACAACCTCTCCATGCCGGGATGGCGGCTCCTGCTCCTTACTCCCTGCCGGGTCTTTGTTCTGCTGCCGGCCAGGAGCACCCTGGGCTGCAGCTGGTGGTGCTGTGGCTGGGTCCTCATATCCTTCCTTCTGTGTTGTGGAAGGGTCGGGTGTATCCTCTCCATCCCTGGGTGGATGAGGGGCTCTGGAGCTGCACTGGTGACTGTGATGGGACCAGAAAACTGTGATTGGCTTCTCCATGGCTCCGAGGCTCATTCTCTCCACTCTCCGCTTATTCCCTCTTCTCTTTGCTCAGGATTGGTTGTGGGTGCTCCGCAGCGAGGCTGCAGGTGTCCTGCCTGCAAGACACAGAGGCAGGAAGTTCAGGTTAAATGTAAGGAGGAAGCTCTTCCCTGTGAGGGTGCTGAGGCGCTGGCACAGGGTGCCCAGAGAAGCTGTGGCTGCCCCATCCCTGGCAGTGCTCAAGGCCAGGTTGGACACAGGGGCTTGGAGCAAGCTGCTCCAGTGGAAGGTGTCCCTGCCCGTGGCAGGGGTTGGAACTGGAGGAGCTTTGAGGTCTCTTCCAACCCAAACCAGGCTGGGATGTGATGAGATGTGCAGGCAGATGTGCCACAGCTCTGATGCTTTGCAGACCCTGCACCATAGGTGCAGTGCCAGGTGCTGCTGTGGCTCAGTGAGTCTGTGGTGCTGCCGGGCTGTGCCATGGTCCCTGTGTGCCCTGGTCACCATCCCCATGGTCACTGTCCCTGTGTCACCGTGTGTCGTGGTCACTGTCCCTGTGTCTCCATCACTCCCGGCCCATCTGGTGCTCGGCTCACTGGGTGCAGTGACACTGCCTGGGACTCAGTGCAGCCTGCAGCCATGTCCGAGTTCACGTCACACTCATTGCTTCTGTTGCTCTCCCTGCTGCTGCCCTGTCCCCCACCCTGCCCGCCCCTGTCCCTGCTCTGTGCCCATCCCTGCCCTCTCCCCCTCCCTGCCCATCCCCACACCGTGCTGTGCTCCCGCCTGCTGGCCACTCCGTTCCAGGCTGTCTTGTCCAGCCTCACGCAGCCCGAGGAGCATCCAACGTGTGCCCCAGCGCGGCCGCTGCCCGCAGGATGGCCGACCCCGAACAGGCTGCAGGTACCGCGGCCGGGCGCTGCCGGGCAGTCCTGGGTGATGGTGCTGCTGTGGCTCCGGGTCCTGGTGCCGGGGCTGAGGCTGCTGCTGTGGCGACGAGGTGCGACCTGGGCAGGGAGGAGCCCATGTGAGGCCTTCCCGTTCTGCCCCAGTGAGGATGAGGATGGGCAGGATGATGCTCGGGGGAGCACCGGGACCAGGGGGGCTGGAGCAGAGGCTGTTCCCTGCATGAAACCTCGTGACAGGGCTCAGAGGAGCAGGTCCCGTGCTTGGTCATGCTGGGAGCGGGGCTGGAGCGGGCAGGGGGTGCTGCTGCCCCACGAGGACTCTGCTTCTGGAGACCCAGTGCATGCGGAGTTGTCTCTGTCGCAGGCTCAGGGCTGCACCAGGCGCATCCCAGCCCTGCGGGTGGAGGGGAGGAGATCGTGCGCGGCATCGCTGTGGAGAAGTTTGACATTGTCAAGAAGTGGGGGATCAACACGTACAAGGTGAGGGCTCTGGAAAGACGTGGCCAGGGTAGGCTGGGATGTAGCCAAAGGGATGAGGCTCCACAGGCAAAGTGCTGGTCCTGCACTTTGGACCACAGCCACCCCATACAATGCTCCAGGCGTGCGGAAGAGTGGGTGGAAACTGCTCAGGGAAAGGACCTGGGGGTGCTGATTGATGGAGCTGAACATGAGCAGCTTGTGCCCAGGCAGCCAGGAAGCCCCCAGCATCCTGGCCTGGATCAGCACCAGTGCGGCAGCAGGGCCAGAGAAAGGCACTGGAGCTGGTGCAGGGCCTGGAGCCCAAGTGTGATGGGGAAGGGCTGAGGGACCTGGGGGGTTCAGTGTGGAGAAGGCTCAGGGGGGACCTGATCGCTCCCTACAAGTGCCTGAGAGGAGGATGGAGCCAGGAGGGGCTGGGCTCTGCTCCCAAGGAACAAGGGAGGGGACAAGAGGAAACGGCCTCAAGGTGCCCCAGGGCAGGTTTAGATGGAGCTGAGGAACAATTCCTGCCCCAAAGGGTGCTCAGGCATTGGAACAGGCTGCCCAGGGCAGGGCTGCAGGCACCGGCCCTGCAAGGTTTCACACCCCATGGAGACGAGGCCCCAGTGCCATGGGGCAGTGGTGGCCTTGGCAGTGCTGGGGAGCGGTTGCACTGGATGATGTTGAAGCTCTTTCCCAGCCTGGTTGATTCCATACCTCCAGGGGTGCAGGAGGTTGCACTGGGGCAGGACTTCGCCCCCGTCCAACCTTGCTCCTCCTGCAGTGCACGAAGCAGCTCATCTCGGAGCGGTTCGGCCGCGGCTCCCGCACGGTGGACCTGGAGCTGGAGACGCAGATCGAGCTGCTGCGGGAGACCAAGCGCAAGTACGAGAGCGTTCTGCAGCTGGCGCGGGCCCTCACTTCCCACTTCTACAGCCTGGTGCAGACGCAGCACGCGCTGGGGGACGCCTTCGCCGACCTCAGCCAGAAGTCACCAGAGCTCCAGGTACCTGACCAGACCTCAGCCACGTTCCCTGCTCTGCATCCCCTGCGCTGCCTCCATTCCCCTGCGCTGCATCCCTTGAGCCGCATCCCCCTGCACCACATCTGCTGTGCTCTCCACTGCGCTGAGTCCCCGTGAGCTGCGGGTCCCCATGAGCTGCAGGTCCCATGGAGCACCCTGGGTGCATGAGGACGTGGAGGACAGTGGTGTTATCCATGAGCTGTGCTCGGTTATCCATGAGCTGATTCTGGGCTCTCAGATCCTGGTTCGTGCCATCCCGGCCCCATGTATCCTGTCCTGCAGGAGGAGTTTGGGTATAATGCGGAGACACAGAAGCTGCTCTGCAAGAACGGGGAGACGCTGCTGGGTGCCGTCAACTTCTTCGTCTCCAGCATCAACACACTGGTCAACAAGACCATGGAGGACACGCTCATGACAGTCAAGCAGTATGAGACAGCCAGGTAGGACGTAGCCACAGTGCTGTGAGGTGCCGTGGGGCAGCTGAGGGTCACAGCATGCCTCTGAGCCTCCCTCCGTGCAGGCTGGAGTACGACGCGTACCGCACGGACCTGGAGGAGCTGAGCATGGGCCCGCGGGATGCCGGCACCTTGAGCCGCCTGGACGCAGCCCAGAGCCACTTCCAGAGCCACAAGGACAAGTACGAGAAGCTGCGGGCGGACGTGGCCATCAAGCTCAAGTTCCTGGAGGAGAACAAGGTGGGGGCCTCACCACGGCTTCGGGGGGGCCTTTGGGGGTCTGTTTTTTCTGGGCCACTTTTGGTGGAATTTTTTTTGGAGGCTGTGTTTTGGGGCCGCATTTGGGAGTCACCTTTTGGGGCTGCCTTTGAAGGGGTCTTTGGTTGGGGCTGCCGTTTGCTGCTGCCTTTTGGGAGATGGCTCTTGGGGGGCTGCCTGCTGGGGGATGGCTTTTTGAGGGTCTCCTTTTGGTAGCTGCCTTTTGGGGACAGTTTTGGGGGTCTTCTTTTAGGTTCTGTGCTTTGGAGCTGCCATTCGGGGGCTCCTTTTAGGGTCAGCTTTTTGGGGCTCCTTCTGGAATTGCCATTTGGGGGCCTTTTTGGGGCACTTCTGTTTGGGTGCAGCCACTGGGGTTCCGCCCTTTTGAGGCTTCCTCTTTTTGAGTGGCTGTTTTGGGGGGCTGCTTTGGGGGGGTCACCCTTTGGGAGCTGCGCTCTCGGGTGCCACTGGCGGGTGCCTGCAGTGACCGTGGTCCCCCCCGGCGGTGCCGCAGGTGAAGGTGATGCACAAGCAGCTCCTGCTCTTCCACAACGCCATCTCCGCCTACTTCGCGGGCAACCAGCAGCAGCTGGAGCAGACGCTCAGGCAGTTCAACATCAAGCTCAAGCCACCGGGCGCCGAGAAGCCATCGTGGCTGGAGGAGCAGTGAGCATGGACACAGATCGGGATGGGGCCCCAGGAGCCGCTGTGCCCCCGGCCCAGGGACCCCCCCAGCCCAGGGACCCCCGCCACAGCCGGGACACCCCAAACCCCCACGGTCCCCCCTGCCCGGTGCAGGCGTGTCAGGGTCCAGGGAGTAGTGGTGCTGGGGGGGCTCCAGGATCACCCCTAGTTCCCCTGGGTGAGCCCTGTGGGACCCCAGGCCAGGCCCCTGCCCCCCCCCCCCCCAGCCTGTGGGGTGCCCCTGACCTCCCCCCAGGCACTGGTGGCTGCTCTGGGGGCACCCAGGCTCTGAAGGACCCACAGAAACATGCGTGTCCCCTTGTCACAGGACACACGCACACACCCCTCAGCAGAACACACTGACACGCATGTCCCCTCCCACAGGACATGCAGAAACACGTATGTCCCCTCCCCACAGAACACACACACACGCATGTCCCTTCTGCAGGACACTGACGTGTGTGTGTCCCCCTTCCCATAGGACGCACAGGAACGCGCGTCCCTTCAGCAGGACACATAGAAACAAGCATGTCCCCTCTGCACGACACACAGACACGTCTCCTCTCACCACAGGACACACAGAAACACGTATGTCCCCTCCCTGCAGGACACACACACATGTGACACGCATGTTTCCCCCCACAGGACCACACACACATACAACACACACGTGTCCCCTCCCCGCAGGACACACACATGAGACACATGTCCCCCCCGCAGGACAGACACGCACATGACACACACATGACACACATGTCCCCCCCGCAGGACAGACACGCACATGACACACACATGACACACATGTCCCCCCCGCAGGACAGACACACACATGACACACACATGTTCCCCCTGCAGGACACACACACACACACATGTCCCCCCCCCCTGCAGGACACACACACACACACACACACACACACACACACATGTCCCCCCCGCAGGACACACACACACACACACATGTACCCCCCGCAGGACACACACACACACACGTCCCCCTTCCTGCAGGACACACACATGTCCCCCCCGCAGGACATACACACATATGATACACACGTCCCCCCTGCAGGACATACACCCACACACACGTGTCCCCCCCCGCAGGACACAGGTGACTCGTGTCCCCTTGGCCCCGTGCTGGTGTCCCGGGGCGGCAGCGCCGGGGCCAGGCCGGGCACGTCGGGCCGGGCTCTCCCGGCTGCACTTGGGCACTTTCTCCCGTGAGCCCCGCTCGGGATTCCCGCTGATCCGCTCCGCCCCGGGCCCAGCCTGTGACATCCAGAATAAACGGTACCGAGCAGCGAGTGGGGCTGGACGGGAGCTGGGGGCTCCAGTGACGGCGTTCCAGGGACACGGGGTCCCAGGGTCGGGGATCCTGCACTGCCCCCGCCCGACCGCAGGGGCTGGAGCGCGGCACAAGGGCCCGTTGTTGGTCCTGGCTCCGGGCAGCCGGTGACCGGGGCTGCTCCGTCCTGACCTGGCCATGCCCGGCCCTGGACAACGGGGGCACCACTGAAGCTCTGTGAAGCGTTTCGCACCGTCCCCGCAGGTGACACGAGTTGGGTGGGAGCATTGAGCTGCTGGAGGGGAGGAGGCACCGCAGAGGGTCTGGATCCATGGGATGAGACCAATGGGATGAGGTTCAACAGGCAAAGTGCCTGGTCTTGCATCTGGGACACAACCACCCTGTACAATGCTCCAGGCATGGGGAAGAGTGGCTGGAAACTGCTCATGGAAAAGGGCCTGGGGATACTGATGGATGGAGCTGAACATGAGCAGCTTGTGCCCAGGCAGCCAGGAAGCCCCCAGCATCCTGGCCTGGATCAGGGCCAGGGCAGGGATTGTGCCCCTGCACTGGGCACTGGTGAGGCCCCACCTTGAATCCTGAGTTCAGCTCTGGGCCCTTCACTGCAAGAGGGACATTGAGGTGCTGGAGCGGGGCCAGAGAAGGGCAGCAGAGCTGGTGCAGGGCCTGGAGCCCAAGTGTGGGGAAGGGCTGAGGGACCTGGGGGTTCAGATGGAGAAGGTTCAGGGGGGACCTGATGGCTGCCTACAAGTGCCTGACAGGAGGATGGAGCCAGGAGGGGCTGGGCTCTGCTCCCAAGGAACAAGGGAGGGGACAAGAGGAACCGGCCTCAAGGTGCACCAGGGCAGGTTTAGATGGAGCTGAGGAACAATTCCTGCCCCAGAGGGTGCTCAGGCATTGGAACAGGCTGCCCAGGGCAGGGCTGCAGGCACCGGCCCTGCAAGGGTTCACACCCCGTGTAGAATCAGAACGGTTTGGTTTGGAAAGGATTTTGAGGTCATCCAGCTCCAACCCCCAGGAAGAAAACGCAACCGCTTGTGCCGAGGGCGAGTTCTCAGCGGAGCGCAGCGAGGGAGCTGCCCCGCTCCTTGCGAAACCCCGGCCCAGAGGCAGGGCGCCTGCGGAGGATCGAGCGCCGGGCGCACCGCGGTCGTGCGGGGCGCGGCAGGGGAGAGGCGGCTCCGCACCCGCCCGCCCCTCCGGTCCCGAGCTCCGCGCCGGGACCACCGCGCCCCAGGCGGGCGGGCGGCTCTCTTGAGCCCAGCGAGGCGGCGGCGGCGCCGCGGTACCGCTGCGTGCGGGCCGGATTCTGGCTCGGAGGCGTTCAGCCGTCAGCCCGCAGGCTGCAGCCTCGGGCCAGGCGCGGCACCAGGGCTCTGACCCTGCGGCGCCTCTCGCACTGAGCCCGACTGCTATTGCAGCAACACATCAGTAGGGTAAAACTAACCTGTCTCACGACGGTCTAAACCCAGCTCACGTTCCCTGTTAGTGGGTGAACAACCCAACGCTTGGTGGATTCTGCTTCACAATGATAGGAAGAGCTGACATCGAAGGATCAAAAAGCGACGTCGCAATGAACGCTTGGCCGCCACAAGCCAGTTTTCCCTGTGGTAACTTCTGACACCTCCCGCTTCAAACCCCAAAAGCCAGCAGGATCGTGAGGCCCCGCGTTCACGGTCTGTGATCGTGCTGAAAATCAAGACCGAGCTTTCGCCCCTCCGTAGTTGGTTTCCATCCTTCCCGAGCTAGCCTTTAAACCCCTGTGCTACGCTCTGGCAGCTGCACCGCCCCACTCAAACTCACCTGCTGCTGTCCCCGGAGCGAGATCCACCCTCGGGGCTCGCTCCCCCGCCTCACGGGATAAGAGTAGCCGAGGTCCTCGGTGCCATGGGTCAGGGGTGGCCTCGGCAGTGCTGGGGAGCGGTTGCACTGGATGATGTTGAAGCTGTTTCCCAGCGCAGCTGATCCGATGGTTCAGTTCCCGCACCCGTCAGGCTCCGGGGCTGGGTTAGGCTCCGGGTGGGTGTCAGGATTAAACCCATCCCAGGGCGCAGGGGGTGCCCTGCCTCGGGGGGGGGTTGGTTCATTCCCACCGGCATTTGCCGCTCCAGTACCTGCTCCTGCAGCGCCGCTGGGACCGGCCTAGCCCGGCCGGGAGTGAGCGGCGGACACCGGGGTTCGGGGTGTCCTTTGTGGGGGGAGAACCTACAGCGGGGCCGGGACCAACCCCGAGCGGGCGAACGGGACGGGCTCAGCGCCCTCCGCCGTTACCCGCTGCCCGGGGCGGGGCCGGGGGAGGAGCTCCGCAGCCACAGGTGCCGCTGTCCCGTCCCGGCCATGGGCTCCCCGGTCCCGGCCATGGGCTCTCCGGTGCCGCCGCCCCCGCCGGTGCCGCCGCCGGTGCCGCCGCCCCCCCCAGCGCTGTCGCCGGGTGCGCGGCTGCGGGCGCTGCACTGGGAGCCGGTCCCCGCCTGGCGGGTGCGGGGCCGCCGCTCGGTCTGGGCCCCGCCGCCCGCGCTGCTCCCGCCGCTGGACTTGCCCCGGCTCCGGGCGCTGTTCCGGGAGCCCCGCGGGGTCGCCCCGGGGCAGCGCCCGGCGCCCGCGGTGAGACCCAAACCCTGCGCCCAGCGGGACCCCTCCCGCAGCCCCCCCTGACCCCCCCCCCCCCTTCCGCACCCCCCAGGCCGCGCTGCTGGAGCACAAGCGGAGCCTCGCCCTCGGCGTCTTCCTCAAGCAGCTCAAGCGGTGAGCGGGGACCCGGGACCCCCCCGCGCCCCCGGGTCCGGTCCGGGGGTCACCGGTGCCCAACGTGCCCCCAGCCCCGTCGAGCAGGTAGTGAGGGACATCGAGGAGGGCGTCGGGGCTCCCTATGGGGCAGAGAAGCTTCTGGAGCTGTCCCGGCTGCTGCCCAGCGCCGCGGAGGTGGGAGCCGGGGTACGCAGGGGTGCGCGGGGCGGGGGTTCCCGGTGCACCCCCCCCCCCGAGCCTCTTCCCCGCCCGCAGGTCGCCCGGCTGGGAGCGCACCTCGGTAGTCCCCGGCAGCTCCCCGAGCCCGAGCGCTTCATGGTGCTGCTGACCCGGGTGCCCAGGTCGGGGGGACACATGGACGGGGGGTGTCCCACACGGGTGGGGGCCACTGCTTTCGGAGGGGGCTGGTGCCACACATTGGGGTGGGGTCACACACTGGGGAGAGGGCCCTACACACCCGGGGGTTGCCATAAACTGGGGGGATGAGGGATGGGGGATGTCACTTTGGGGAGGATACACACTGGGGAGAGGGGGTCCCATTCATCAGGGGAGTCCCACACACTGGGGGGGGCTCCCATGAATTGGGGTGGTTTCCAATGCATTGGAGGGGTCCCACACATTAGCGGTTCCCATGAGCTGGGGGGGGTCCCACGCTCTGCGTGTTCGTTCCCCCATCCCCGCCAGCTACGCCCAGCGCCTGGAGCTGCTGGTGCTGCAGGAGGAGTTCTCCCCGCGGCTCCGCGCCCTCCGCGGCTCCATCCAGACCCTGGCGGCCGCCGGTGCCGGTGAGCGGCCCCGTGGGGTTTCGGGGCATGGGCTGCGCCCCCTCCCAGCTGCTCACTCCCCCCGGCTGCTGCCCCATAGAGCTGATGGAGTGTGAGGAGCTGCACCGCATCCTGCACCTCATCCTGAGCGCCGGCAACCACCTGAACGCGGTGAGCGCGGGCGCGGGCGCTGCCCCGGTGCTGCCGTGAGGGGCTGCGCTCACCTGTCTGCACCCAGGGGGGCTACGCCGGCAGCGCCGCCGGCTTCCGCCTCGCCTCGCTGCTCAAGCTCCCCGACACCAAGGGCAACGAGCCCGGCATGGACCTGCTGCACTTCGTGGCCATGGTGAGCACGCGGCAGCTGCGAGGAGCCCCCCATGGGCCCCTAGTGGGAGCCTGGTGGCTCTTGCCCATGTCCTGCTCAAGGTCGCTCCTGTGGGACGCGCTGCCCGGTGCAGGGGAGGATGTTGTTTATCCAGCAGATGAGGTCCAGCACAGTTCTTCAATCTCTGCCCATGCGGAGATGCTGCTGAGCCTTCTGCAACAGTGCTGGGGTGTCCTTGCCAGTCACCATCACCCCAGCCCCTTGTGCCCCCTTCTCATGGAATCCCAGCCTGGTTTGGGATGCAGGAACCTTAAAGCCCCTCCAGCTCCAACCCCTGCCACAGGCAGGGACCCCTTCCATAGAGCAGCTTGCTCCAAGTCCCTGTGTCCAACCTGGCCTTGAGCACTGCCAGGGATGGGGCAGCCACAGCTTCTCTGGGCACCCTGTGCCAGCGCCTCAGCACCCTCCCAGGGAAGAGCTTCTGCCTAAGAGCTCAGCTCAGTCTCCCCTCTGGCAGGTTAAAGCCATTCCCCTTGGCCTGGCCCCACAGGCCCTTGTCCAAAGCCCCTCTCCAGGTTTCCCGTAGCCCCCTTAGGCACTGGAGCTGCTCTCAGGTCCTTTGGGAGACCATCAGTGCCCCCCAAGCGTGTTCCTCTCTCTCCTCGTGTGCCTCGGTTCAGCTCACTCCGGCAGGGACGCGGCCGCGGGCTGTGGCCCCCGGTGACGCTGTGGCCTCCCCCGCAGGAAGCGGCCCGGATGGACCGGACCCTGCTGGACTTCCCGGACAAGCTGCGCCACGTGGGCCTGGCCTCGCGGTGAGGGGCGGCCCCGCTGCAGCGGCCCCGCGGGGCTGCGGCGCAGGCGGTGACCGGAGCCCTCCTCCCCCCGCAGCATCGACGCGGCCGAGGTGGAGCGGGAGCTGCGGCGGCTCGCGGGGCGGCTCGCGGGGGCGCGCGGGCTGAGCGCGGCGGCGCCGTTCCTGCGCGCGGCCGAGGAGGAGCTGCGCGCGGCCTGGCGCGCCCTGGAGCAGCAGCAGCGCGCGGCCGCCGCCACGCTCGACTTCTTCTGCGAGGAGGCGGCGGCGGGCGCGCTCCCGGCGCTCTGCTCCGTCCTGCACCGCTTCGCGCTCGCTCTGCGCGCGGCCGCGGGCGACAACGGCCGCCGGGAGCAGGCGCAGCGCCGGCGGCTGCAGCTGGAGCGCGGGAAGCGCCACTCCATCGCCGCCTGCTCCGCGCCCCCCGACACCGGCGCCCCGCGCCGCGCCCCGCTCACCCCGCAGCCCCCGCGCCGCGGCTCCGAGCCCGCCCCGCCCCAGCAGGACCCGCCCGTTCCCGCGCCGCTGCCCCCGGCCGGTGCTGCTGTTGGGGCGCTCCCGCTCGGCCCCAGCCCCGAGCCGCCCCCCTCGGCCCCGGCCGCCCCCCGCCAGGGCTGGGCCGTGCTGCGCCTCCTGCGGCGCCTGGCGGCGGGGCCGGGCCGCGGGGCCCCCCCGAGCTGAGCCCGCGCTGTTTCCCTGTCCCGTGTCCGTCCCCGTCCCCGCCCCCCCCCCCCCGAGCGATTTGATAATAAACGATGAGACCAACCCGGGCTCCCGCATGACCAGCGCCTCCCGCCCCTGGCCCCCACGTACCCCCATAGCTATCACATCCCCTCATGTGCCCCCCACAGTCGTGTCTCTTACGGCCACATCTCACCCCTTCCATCGTGTCCCCCAGTACTGACCCATGGCCTTGCCACCCCACCCGGCACTGTGCTGTCACTGCTGTGGTGCTGGTGGTTGCACGGGTGGATGCTGCAGGGTGCTGCGGGGCTGCTCATGGAGGAGTTCGGTGGCCCCCCCAGAGGGGGCAGGGCAGGCTGGGTCCTGCCTCATTGGAGGCAGGGGTGTCCTCAACACCCCTGAGGACAGAGGATGTTGAACAGCTCCAGGGAATCTGCTCCAGCAGTGCCAGGGTGGTTCTTCTGAACTGAATGGGGATGGTTTGTGTTGGAACAGAGTTGCCCCATGGGCAAGAACACCTTCCAACAGCTTCACATCCCTCTTATGCTGAGGGCTTTAAAGTCTCTTTTAACCCAAACCATTCCATGAGATCCCAGTTCCACTCCCAGCCCATTACTGGGCCCAGAAAACAGGCTGGAGCCCAGGCTGTGGCTCTCTGGGCAGATGCCAGCAGGGCAGGGGCTGTTTGCTGAGGCCCATGCCTCGCGGGAATGCTGGCGCCATCCCAAAGGAGCAGAGCTCAGTGGGGGGGGGGGGAGGAGGAGGCCCCGGTTACAGAAATAAATCGATATATTAGTGTGTACAAAACATGCTGCTGTCCCCCGCGGCCTCCACACATATAAATAACACCCCGGGGGCTCAGGCGGGAGATGCCTGTGCGGGGCCCGCCCCACCGGCACCGGCACCGGCCCCGGCCCCGGCCCAGCCCGCGGGCCCCGGCACCGGCCTGGCCTGCCCGGGCTCACTTGAGGTCCACATCGAAGTCCAGCACCAACAGCTTGGTCTCCTCGGTGCCGTTGCGGCTGCCCACGGCACAAACCAGCTTCGTGTTGGAGGCGCGGATGCGCCACACGACTCCGCCGCTGCCGCCGCTCTCCAGCGCCACCAGGTTGCGCACGAACTCGCCCGTTTTTAGGTCCCAGAGCTTGACGGTGCCGTCGTCCGAGCTGGTCACCACGAACTTGGAGCTGAACTGCAGGCAGGTCACGGCGCTCTGGTGCTTGCTGGGCCCTAGGAGCAGAGCGACCGCAGTCAGAACCGCTGGAGATCATCGGCTCCAACCCACCCCCAGGGCAGGGCTGCCCGGAGCAGGGCACAGGAGTGTGTCCATGGAGGGGTTGGGATGTCTGAGGTGGAGACTCCACAAAGCTCTGTGGAGCCTGTGCCAGGGCTCTGCCACCCGCAGTGGAAGGAAGTTCTCCCTCACATTGTTCTTCCTCGTGTTTAGGGGAGATTCAGGTCAGATGTAAGGAAGCTCCTCCCTATGAGGGTGCTGAGGTGCTGGCAACGGGTGCCCAGAGAAGCTGTGGCTGCCCTATCCCTGGCAGTGTTCAAGGCCAGGAGCAACCTGCTCTTTGGAAGGTATTCCTGCCCATGGCAGGGTTTGGAACTGGAGGAGCTTTAAGGTCCCTTCCAACACAAACCAGACTGGGATTCCAGGATTCATTCTATGATTCCTAGGAAACTTGTGTTTTAGTTTACGGCCATTGCTCCTCATCCTGTCACTGGGCACCACTGAGAAGAGTCTGGCACCCAACTTTGAGATATTGATCTGCATTGATGAGATCCCCTCTCAGGCTGCTCTTCTCCAGACTCAACAGGCCCAGTTCTGGCAGTTTCTCACAGAACAGAATCCCAGAGTGGTTTGGGTTGAAGGGACCTTAAACTTCATCCAGTTCCAACCCTATCCCATGGGCAGGGACACCTTCCACTAGAAGATAATCTAGTCTTTCAGTTCTGAGACGTCTTCTCATCAGATATGCTCCAGACCCCCCGACCATCCTTGTAGCCTCCACTGGAAGCCTTCCAGTACCTCGTCTTTCTTGTCCTGAGGAGCCCAGCACTGGACACAGGACTCCAGATGTGGCCTCACCAGCGTCAAGGAAAGGGGGAGGATGATCCCCCTTCAACCTGCTGCCACACTCCTCCTGATGCACCCCTGCATATTCCTGTCCCTCCTGGCTCAAGGTCACACTGCTGCCTCATGGTCAGCTTCTCATCCATCAACTCTCCCAGGTCTCAGCTCAACTGCTCTCTAGCTGTCAGCCCCAGCCTGTGCTAGGACTTTGGGATCCCTCAGTTCCATGCTCCCACCACAACCCCATTGGGAGCCCCCTTGACAACCTCTGCCCTGCCCCATCTAGCAGCCACACGTGTCCCCAGCGCGCAGCAGGAGGAGCTGCCCCGTTCCAGCACTCACCCTGCAGCGTCTGCAGGCACTGGCCTGTCTTGATGTCCCAGATTTTGACGGTGGAGTCGGCGTTGCCGGACACGAGGATGTTGTCCCGCAGCTCCATGCCGCTGGTGAGCGACTGGTGCCCCATGAGGGTGTGCAGACAGTTCCCGCTCTCCACGTCCCATACACGGATGGATGTGTCCAGGGAGCCGCTCACAATGTGCGTCCCATCAAACTGCCCAGGGAGACACAATCAGCATAGCCTGAGCAGGGGAAGGGGCAATACCAGCCTGCGGTCAGGGACAGGGCACAGCTGCTTGAGAGACATTCTTGTGTCCCCTGCAGCTAATCCAGGTGCGCATGTGACTGGCAGCGTATTCAAAGAACCCAAGCCTGGGTTGGGCTGGAGAGAGCTTAAAGCTCCTCCATTCCCAAACCCCTGCCACAGGCATGGACCCCTTCCACTGGAGCAGCTTGCTCCAAGCCCCTGTGTCCAACCTGGCCTTGAACACTGCCAGGGATGGGGCAGCCACAGCTTCTCTGGGCACCCTGTGCCAGCGCCTCAGCACCCTCCCAGGGAAGAGCTTCTGCCTAAGAGCTCATCTCAGTCTCCCCTGGGGCAGGTTCAAGCCATTCCCCTTGGCCTGGCCCTACAGGCCCTTGTCCCAAGCCCCTCTCCAGGCTTCTTGCAGCCCCTTTAGGCACTGGAGCTGCTCTAAGGTCTCCCCTTCAGGAGCCTTCTCTTCTCCAGGCTGCCCCAGCCCAGCTCTCTCAGCCTGGCTTGAGCAGAGGTGCTCCAGCCCTCGCAGCAGCTCCATGGCCTCCTCTGGCCTCACTCCAACAGCTCCACATCCCTCTTACGCTGCTGCCCCAGAGCTGGATCAGGACTGCAGGTGGGGTCTCCCCATAGCGCAGCCCAGCAAACGGGGGGGGGGCGGTTCTGGGCTCAAGCACTCACTGAAGCCGGGTCATGGGGAGTTTCTCCTCACCCAACACCTAAAGTCCTTCTCCTCAGGGTGTGTGTCCCTGCAGCACACCTGTGGTGTCAGGGAGCAGGGCAGAGGGCCTCCCCTGCAGGGATCAGACATAGCCCATGTGTCCCTGGGGCCATCAGTGGGAGGGACAGGGGCTCCAGGGTGTTACCTGCAGGGAGTAGACGCGGTTCGTGTGTCCCTGCAGTGTGTGGGTGCAGCTCTCGCTCTCGGGGTCCCACACCTTCACTGTGTAGTCGTAAGCACCGCTCACCACCTTGTGCCCATCGTACTGCACACAGCGCACAGCAGCCACGTGCCCCATGAGCACGTGCAGGCACTGCCCCGTCTCAATGTCCCACAGGCGCAGCGTCGCGTCCCGAGAGCCGCTCACCACCCTGTGGGCATGGACATGGAGCACAACCACATCTGACCTCGGGCGATGGAGGCAACCCCGAGGAGCAGCTTTTCCTCCTGAGGGAAACCTCTTCCCGCACAGCCACAGATCCACCTCTGTGCCCACACCCCAGCCCAGCCCAAGCCCCACATCATAGACCTATGGACTGCTTTGGGGACCTTAAAGCTCACCCAGCTCCAAACCCTCCCAGCACAGCGGGCAGCTGAAGCCCCCCTGCCCGTACCTGTTGCCGTGCAGGTGCATGCAGCGCACGGTAGACGTGTGCCCGTAGAGCGTGTGCACGCACTCGCCCGTGTCCGCGTTCCACACTTTGAGGGTCCGGTCCGTGGAGCCGCTGATGACGATGCTGTCCCTCATCTGTGATGACCACACACCACCGGTGTGACCCACCAGGGTCTGCACACACTGCGAGGGGCGGGATGGGGACACTGCATTGGGAAAGGCTCCACAATGTGGCAAAGGAGCAGCAGAGCACAGGACAACCCCCCCTCCCGCCCCGCTGCAGCATCCACGAGGTTCATCCCTCAGTGATCCACTCCCTGCACCAGACCCCACCAGAGTCCTCTCCATGACATGGTCCTCTGAACCCAACTGAGTTTCCTGCCCTCCTGCATCTCCAGGAAGATGCTCCACACTTGCTGACCTGAGCTGAAAACACAAGTGTAGCCAACTCTTGCTCATTTGGCACTGCACCATCAGACTGGTGGCTTAAGACAGCTCCTGCAGCCAGAGGCTCTGTCAGATCTCCTCAGAGACGGGACAAATCATGGAACCAACCAGGCTGGGAAAGAGCTTCAGCACCACCCAGTGCAACTGCTCCCCAGCACTGCAAAGCCACCACTGCCCCATGGCACTGAGGCCTCGTCTCCATGGGGTGTGAACCCTTGCAGGGCCGGTGCCTGCAGCCCTGCCCTGGGCAGCCTGTTCCAATGCCTGAGCACCCTCTGGGGCAGGAATTGTTCCTCAGCTCCGTCTAAACCTGCCCTGGTGCAGCTTGAGGCCGTTTCCTCTTGTCCCATCTTGTCCCTTGGTCCTTGGGAGCAGAGCCCAGCCCCTCCTGGCTCCATCCTCCTGTCAGGCACTTGTAGGCAGCCATCAGGTCCCCCCTGAGCCTTCTCTTCTCCACACTGAACCCCCCACGTCCCTCAACCCTTCCCCATCACACTTGGGCTCCAGGCCCTGCACCAGCTCCAGTGCCCTTCTCTGGCCCCGCTCCAGCACCTCAATGTCTCTCTTGCAGTGAAGG